GTCACAAAAATATACAAACAAAGAAACTAACAAACATTAGCTATGCAGAAATGCTCTTGTTCACACAAACCAGCCAAAACAAGCAGACAAGGAAAAGCACATGCAGGGGAATCTCAAATACCAGTCAGATGAACGTCAGGGTATGTGATTTGAGAGGCTGAGGAGTAAAAATAGAGGCACACGCTTGCATATGCAAGTACGCTCACACATTAACATTTTTAATATTCACAACAAATTAATTAGTTAAGGCATTGACGCACCACTTCTTGTTTAACAGTTATTTATTTAGCTTTCTGATTTTGGCTTTGAGACATCTGTCTAATTAAATCACATGACAGTTACCAGGAATGTTCCTTTAGAGGTAGAGAGTTGTTGGATGATTAACACAACTCATCGGTGAAGCCAAAGACCTTCACAGGAGCCAGGTCTTGCGTCCCAGCCAGGGTTTTCCCTACTTTTCTTCTTCAAAGCTGCTCACACAGTCTTCCTCTCCCCTAATATATCAGTTTAACCCCGGCTGTTTATTACAGTGTACATACAGTGTACTTAAATATATTAATACTATAAAAGGTTTACAGAAATAGTAAGTCTGCAGAGTCTGAGATCATATCATAAAATACCAGGATAAACATATCACAAGTATACAGTAGTTCTAGTAAGAACTGAAGCTGCCTGTCCAGTTAGCTTTTCTGCCCTGAATTAAGCCTGTCAGGTAGATATTCTCTCAGGCCAATAGGAGTAAGTGCTACCTGAGAATCCAGGTCTGGGACAAAGAAAGGCCTGTAACAATTTATATAAAGTCAATGTGTTGTTTTGTTGAGCTCAAAGTTTTGAGCTTGAACTGAGTACCATGAGTTTGAGAGCAATATTATTTTAATGTATCTATTTATTGCGTTTTGTCTTTAAGCTGTTGCATGACAGCAACAAAGCGCAACAGCTATCGTAAGCCGGGCAGACATTGCACAGATGAAGCCCTAATTGGTTGCCTACAACTAATTTTAAAACCGGCCAAATTTCTCCCAGATTGCTTCTTGTTTGAGGTGGGTCATGACACCTGACTGGTTCTCAGATGACTTCTGGCATGTGGCTGCTGTCAATGGATCCTTTATAAACTGCAGCAAGCGTGCTTTAATATTCAAGCACTTTGGCTGTTATTTATGCTCCTGACTGAAGTGGAGCTGTGATATATTGTACACCAAACTTCACTGCAGATTATTCCATATCGCCTGCATTTTCAGCCATATCTGGGTTCATATTGTTCTCTTTCTTATTTTCCTTTCATAGTAGATTGTCAGCAGTACCGACGATGTGGCCGTTGTTTTTTTAAATAAACTTTTCTGGAGCTGTTAATGGACAAAATCAAAAGGCAAAAGTGGTTATAGCTGATTCAAATGGTCACACCTGGGCGAGTGAAAAGCCTGTTATCACAAAGTGCTGGATGAAGCCTTTTCAATACTGATACAGGAAAGGGCTTCTGATGTAGTTTTACCAGCACTTGGGCTGGTGAATACTGGTGCCCTTACTTGGTACTCTCTGCACTTGTGCTTGTGTGTATAGCTCATCTGACGCCTGTCATTAGGTGTGTATAATGAATGCCTGTTACATGTTTGTTAAAAAGAGAAGTGGGCACATTTATCTTGGCAGTGTGTGTGCGTTCAGCAGAATGTACAAACCACACACACACACACTCACACTGTCCTCCCTAAAGCCCCAGACTTAACAGAGCAATGTGCTACTAACAAGTGTGTGACAATATGAGGAGTCTCCCACCACTGACCACAGCACCATCAATCCCCGCTCACCTCTCCCACTTCTCACCCTCTTTTTATCTGCCGTCCTTTCTTAACATTCACAACTGTCCTCTTTATCTGAACAGCCCTGTCTCTCTACATTATAGAACTGGAATTAGAAGAAAACCTCCAGCATGTTAATGCAGAAGATTACAATAATATTCAGAAAAGATGAATCCTCTATCTCCTCTCCCCCACTTTTCTTCCGCTTTGCTGTCTCTCCACATCTACAGACTCCTCCACTCCCTTGCCCATGTGTGTGCTGCAGTTTCAGACTGTCAACACACTCACTTTGAGTGTGTTTTAATGCACATACACCTGTTTACTTCAACACAACCTGTAAATGTGTTATGAAGGCAAAATTGCATAGTTAAATGTACAGCAGTAGTGGCACATAATTGACAGCCTGGTCAAATTCTGACATGAGCATGAACTAAACACATGCTCATAAACAGGAATGCAAATGCACAGGTACACTGTACAATGGGTGTATGAGTGTGTGGCAGATACTGAACAAAAGATATTAAGTGCAGTAATTTCTGCAGTTAATTTGTGTTACTTGTTTCTTTTCACAATGCATTTACTGGCCTTACTTTTCAAATGATTGTCAAGTTTGATGTTATTAGCATCTGTAATCACTTTAAATGTCATTAGACAACCATAAAAGAGTACTGACATGACAGGCTTGATAACAGTACCTTCTTATTAAACACACGTCACAGGGGTCTGCTGGGAATCTGTGCCTATACACTTACGAGTGTAGCATCATGCATGCTGATGCAACACTGCCTTAATATCCCTGCAAAGTCTGACTATGTTATCTAAACACAAAAAAGTACTTTTATATACAGTATCAAATGAGGACAGACTTGTTTTTAAAAGACGCTTGTTTTGCCAAAAACAAGAGAGTCATGCAGACTGAATCACTTTATCACTGTCTCATTAGTTGAGTAGATGGAAAAGAAAATGGTTTTTGGCTCTGTGTGCCTGCACACTTCATTGACTGTTATAATGACTGACAATAAAGCAGTGAGGAGCAGAAAAGGGGAAAGAAGAGACAAGAAGATATGATGAGAAGTGAAGAGGAGAAAGAGAGAAACAAGTAATTTAATTGCAAAGATGTCCTGCCCATGTCTGTGTAACAAAGCCACTCTGTATGAAATTATCTTGTGGTGAGTGTTGTGGTATTTGGCAACAGGAGCACTGTGAAATTCAAACCCTTGTTACGGACTGTCCCTTTAATGTGGCAGGCGACTAAACTTCTACACCCCATAGACTGTATAAAAGATGGACAGGCCGACAGCTCCCAAAAGCGAAGACTTGCCATCTGGTGGCTGATTGCAGTATATATCATGAACCCCCACCTCCTCCACATTAGATATATCACACTGGTGTGTGTACCAGCAGTCATTTTTCTGATATGCCTCTTTTGAACAAACTATTTGACAATACAAAAAGGGGTGTATTCTATATGATTTGATAGCTGTGATTGGTGGTCTGATAGGTCACTCATCTATTTGGTCGTTACTGTGAAGAATCTGGTTGGAAAGTGCCAAGATGGCAGCCACTGTGTTCATGATAGTTTGGCTTCACTTTTGCACAGTGGAAGGAAGTGGTGATGCTTTGTACTTAGTTTTATAGTCAATGGTACAACCACACAACTGCAACACTGTAAACTATGCACACATTACACCATACCTTTACATTTCACCAACACCACTGTATTCCATATTCTATATATGAATATGATCGTATTCAACAACATATATGAAAGTAAAGCTGTGCTAGGCATGCTGCTCTCAGCAAGGCACGGGTTCAGAAACCTGAACGGCTACACAGCGAACTAAACAAATAGTAGATACACCCAGGATCTGAGACTATACCACTGCCAGCTATGGCTAAAGGTGAATTTCATTAGAGTGGGGTCACACTCCAACAGGGAAAGGAAGAAAGACAAGAAAAAACTGTACTGCATGCAACAAAGACAAGAAAGGAAGAAGGAAGAATAAAAGAAGGCCTAGGGGAAAATGAGTTCATTAAACTATCATCACCCCTGATTTCAGCCTATTAATGAGCCTCTTTCAGCATGAAAGCTTCCTGCTACTGATGCTGATAGAACCCTGCTACCTGAATGCTGTCTGCTTGGTCAATCAGAGCCATTCCCTGCCTGCAGACAAAACAAGTGGTACAACCATCATCCATCCATCAGATAAGAAACAGATGTTAGTCATAGGACTGAGCTCAAAATCACACACACACACACACACACACACACACACACACACACACACACACACACACACAGATACAGTGATTATACTTCCCGCGCGCAGATGTGCAGCTTTTCTAGACTTTCATATTTCACACTGTTGTGGAAAAATAAAGCTGACAAAGATTTGTTTGGAGCTACTCCTCATTGTATTTATGACTTTTTAAACATCTTTGATAATCATTATCTTGATTAAACCACTTGATCATGTCCAGGCCCTACTGTTTTCATTCTTGCTGATGTGCTTAACAATGTCTATTGTTGTGTTCACAGAATATGTTGTAGGACGGATACTGTGGGAGAACTGGCTTTGCAACAGATAAATTAAACAAACCAAACAAAATGAAAGCGTAAAACTGAAGGTTCAAGTTCGATAAAGTCTCCTGTTGAGGATCTTCCAAGCCAGGGTATCTTCGTAGGGGCGGTGTCAACTCTCCTGCCGGGGGTAATCTGAAATTTGGCTGATAACTCTGGGCAACAGTGTTACACTTCAGCGCAGTGTGTTAACTGCACTGTGAGCATATGTGCTGTACTGCTTGTAACAAACATGCCCACCAGTGTTTTCCATTTGTTTTTTTAGAAAGAGAGTCATAAAGGGTGTGTTGTAACTGAGCCCTGCTTTTTGCGAGTGTTTATGTTTATTTGTGTGCATTTACCATTATTAGAGGTGTTCCAAGAAGTGGCAGCAAGCACACTGGGGTCTTGGGGGAACTCAGACCCTGTAAACAAAGGAAATGGAGATGACCATTAGCATGGCTCTGACTGTGGGGCCCCATCAAAAGACATAAATAAAAAAGGGTGAACTTTAAATCGGTTTAATTCCACTTGATGGATCATGAACACGAGAATTAAAAATTGTAACAAGTACTTAGAGTTTCTGTGTTACTTGATAGCATGTATTAAAGGACCACAGTAAATGCAACTCAAGCTGTGAGCTTTAGCTCTGTTCAGATACATGACTTCAAACACAACAGGAAATCATTCATTGTGAATGAACTTCAAAATTCAAGCAAGCGCTATCTATTGCTGCTTAAAGAATCAAGAGTCACCCGGTGGTGTGTAGTGGGGAACTGCAATTCTTTTGATTGCCTCTGGAAACAAAAGCCGTTTTCTCCTCCACTCAAACACATGAGGGTATGTTAAACAAACTCAAGGAAATGCTGACTGTCACAGCCATTGGCTTCTCACTTCCATCAAGTCAAAAAAAAAAAAAAAACTGTGTATACATCAGAGTGGTGGCTCCTGCTACTAACATTTTCCCATCTTAAATGTTAATCCACTGGTGATGGCATTGTGCATCTGCCAGTGTAGATCAAAGGTTTGAATGTATAACAGGGAGCCTATCAGAAATGAAGCCATGTGGCCCTAATGCTACCTTATTACCGGCTGATGACAGAACATCTCTCTGCTTTTCATTACTGGAGAGAAGAGAGAATATTGGCCTCAGTGTGCGCTGCCACAGGTCGCAAGGTGATTCTTGACCAAAAAGCCTGTGCAGGCTGACAAAGATGGAGTCTGAAACTGTTGTACCTTCACTGATTCTGAGGGCATCAGACAAGCGACAAACACTCAACAGTATCCCAGATTTACCATCAGCTACACCAATGACCTATGCCTGTTGAACTAACCCAGTGTGTTTGTGCGTTTTGTTGCACAATAAGCTTAAAATGACAAATGCCTGCAAAAACTCAAGCCTGTGCATTGAAATAACTACATGCACACACACACAGCTGCAAATCTAGCCTGTACTCAAAAGCTTCAACAGCAAAGCAACAAAACAACTTACAACAGGACCAGGCGCTTGACAGAGGGTCATGCTAATTGGGTGAGAATGTGTTGTTTCACACATGCTAGGTCAGAAATGAGCTGCGGTAACGAGCAGGGCTTTGGGCACTAGTTAGTGAGGGAAGTCTGGAGGCTTGGCAACTGGCTCATTAACAACAGGCTGGAGGTTTTATGAGTAAAGGTCAATGCTGTTATAAATCCATAACATAATAATAAAGGCTGTTTATTACATTATTGCTTTACAGTTTTTAATTTAGTATTCACACAAAAACTCATAATAATAACATAATAATGTTGTTGTTGTCCCCTTGTACATCTTATTTCACATGCTCATGGCTCTCACAAGTTGTGCTACAATATAGGACCCAAAATGACTTGTGGGTTTGTTCCAGAAGGCTCCTAACATGACAGTGTAATACAGCGTCTCTTGGCCCCAAAGTGGGTCTATACTTTCTCTGTGTTCTGGGTTGATATACTCTCAGAAGCATAGAAGCTCTGTAGCTTACAAAGGACAAAGGAGAGGGGATGTTGCAGCTCACTAGCTTCACTAACAAAGCTAGCCAAGTGCAGCCAGGTGAAAGTTTTATAGAGGGAGCTGGACATTGAAATAGGGTGTGAATGGGAAGGAGGGGGTAGGTCTGGAAGGTGCACCATGAGGATGTTTATTAAAAAAATGATATGAGGGAGGCACAACTGCATACTCTTGAGAAGGAATTGTAGTATTTCATGCAACTGTTTTGGGTCTGTTGATTGTTGGGAAATGTTTTTTTTTTTTTTTTTGTGAACAGTGGCACATGTAATTTCAATAATGCGACTTCTGCAGATATCACAGTAGTCCACACAGACAAAAAGTTATTCACTCCTTTCTCTTCTCTATTTAGGTCACATCTGTTAGTTCTTTTTCACTGAGACAATCATCTGGAATATCTGGGATGTATTCCAGAGTAATTTTGATATTAGCTTTCTAGCAATGGAGGGAAGCAATTCTATTAGGCCCACTTGGTAATAAGGGACTAAAAATAGGCACATTCACAGTGCCTGTGTCAGTTTAGATAAGCGGCTCTTGCAGTGGTGGTTGTGAGTCTTGACTGAATCCTGATTCTGATGGTGCCTCTATGTTAACTGGATCATGAGGTTCCATTATAAAGATCTGACAATATGAATCACTGCTAAGAATCAAAGGCCTGGTTTAGATTGTAGCAGAAAAACTGAAAAACTATTATTGTGAACTAACTTGGGTTTGAGCTAGAATAATCATCATACTTGTACAAAGTGTCTGACTGCGAGCAGAGATTGAGGTTAGCATTCTTTTATCAAATCAGCAGTTACTGGTTTCTTTTAACCACAGTCACGACCTTGCACAAGCAGTTTTAGCTGCCTAAACCTTAATAAACCTTAACTACTGAGATAACATGAACCGCTATTATAACCGTCACATGGGCTGTCTCTGTGGGTTGGAAACATAAGTCGTGGAGTAGACAAACCATATATTCTGTTGTTTAGGTATTAGCGTGTTTATGCATGACACCCTACCGACTGGAGCATCACATCAGAAAATGCTCAGATGAACCTTTCTTTTCGAGCACAGCACAAAGATGTGAAAAACACAGACATGCATAAATCATAGAGAAACACATTTTCATTAATTTAATTTAGGTGTATAATTTCATTGAACATCCAGGACACCGTATGCCATATGCATTTCAAAACTACTGAACCAAGACAACAACACTTAGCATGTAGACAGACAACCAATCCCAGTGCATTGATTTCATTTGTTAATTTTCTGCTGTTGGTACCATATACCACCATTATAATATATGTGAATGCCCCTTTGTTCTAGCTGGCTGTTTATATTGTTTACTGCTGTCACTTCCTATGTATAGTAGATGGTTCACAACTACAGCACCTCCTGTGCATTTCTCAAAGAATGTATCAGCATTGGTTGAAATCACTTTCGTGCCGTCTGTCCTAGCTACCTTTTAGCTGGTCGTCTATTTTAACAGCTGCGAACCAGCTTTCCAGAACTGTTTGTGCACTGATATCATCTCTGCCCATTTGTTTTTATTTAATGATGATTACCTCAACAGTTAAAAAGCCAAATTTTACTATGATTTCCCTTAAAAGAACCTGGAGCATAAATCTGTGCACATATTTTCATAGCATGTCAGTAGTGATATGCTGAACTTCAGAGGCCCTTTTGTTATGGCAGTAAACATGGACTGAAAGTCTGACTATCTGACAACCTTTATTATAGTATCACTTTCACCTCTTGGCCAGTATGACACATTTTATACAACTTTGGAACAACTTTCGTTTGGAAATTTGTGCCACTCAATTGCCATCCTACTAGCAAAATATAAACAGTTAACATGAAGTCCAGCCATGAACTCTCCACAGAGAAAGCTCCAAGAAAGCACCCTCTGATCCCCATCCAGATGTATTTGGCTAATAATGATAAAAACATGAGCTTAACCCCTATAACCCTGTGAGAATTTGGTGTGACTTTACTGGGACAGCAGCATATGGGAATTAGTGAAGAATGTAAAACTCAGAGGCATGGGAATAAGAAAAAGGAATGGAGTAAAGAAAAATCAAGGAGAAAGTGAGAAAGAAGATAAAACAGAACCAAATCAGAAATGTTCAATCTGAGCAGTTATCCATCGCAACTAATATGCTGTTATATGGTCTGGAGGGCTGTGTTTGGAGCCAGGGTGCTCGGTGTGGTGAGTGAGGCTGATGCACGAGTTGTCCCGCTCTGTTATTATGGCCTCTCCCACGGCCCTCCTCCACCCCTGACCTAACTCTTGGGTTATCTGAAAGAACAGCAAACCCACCATTTTCACAATGCAGCACTACAGCAGTCATATTCCTGTCCTAAGGAGGTGAGAGGTGGATGTATATTGATGCAGAAAATTCAGGAATGATAATCATTTCCTTTTCCACTTTGGCTTCACTGGATCTTTGGTCCATGCACCAAGTTTGTATCTCCATTCAAATGTGTGCTCGCTCACTTTTATCTTTCAAACTTAGATGCTATTGTAAAAAACAGAAAAAACCTACAAACCACTGTCACCTCACTTGCTCACTGCACGCTCATCTAAAGGAGGAAGTCGAACCATTTATGTGACCATCGATTCTCCTCTTACACCCAAATATAAAGTTGACAGACAATGAAAAGAATGAATCTGGCTGATGTCCTAATGCTGCATGCATCCAGAACAAGACTAAGTGCCATACAGGGCTCCTACCTAATTAAATATGATCACAGTTTGGCTCAAGTGGAAAGTTACAGTCCTGCTGTAATACACAGAAAAGTGCACACTCAAAGCGCTTTCACACTATTTGCCCTTTCACACTCCCAAGTACTCACACATTCATATACTGGCGATATCACTGGGAGCAACTGGGGTTTTCAGTGTCTTGCTCAAGGACACTTCAACATGCGGACTAGAGAAGCTGATAATCGAACTGTCAAGAAAGAAGACTTGTAAAATGTGAGTGCAGAAAAAAGACAAAAGGAAGAAAGAGAAACTTCATAACAAACAGTGAAGGTGCCTGTAAAAATCAGTTTTTAAGAAGTGGGCTCCTGTCCTACTTCTTCACTGTGTAGGCTGGAGATGTTTTTTAACCATGGTCACTGTGTCAAATGTGAACGCCAGAATCAGATGGGTGGTGGCCAGTGGGATGGAGGAGATGGAAATGAGCTTCAAGACAGAAAATTAGTTAGTAGGTGGTGACTTCATTCAAATGAAGGGGTAACATGTCATAATCCTTTATCACAAATAAAAATAATGCCAAAACTATGCTTAAAATCATTGTAAACCCAAGTTAAAATTACTTTGAAATTAGCCTTTAAAAAGGGACATGGAGGACAACACATGATGTATACCCGTGCATCTGTGTGAGCATGTGCGAAACTGCACCTGCATGT